CCCTCCTCTCCCATATGACTTCCAGAATTGTAAATCTCTATTTTTATATGCATTATAAAATATAATATAAATAATATAACCCATTTTTATTGCAATTTTGATGTTGGAAAGATTTCAGTATTATTTAATTATGGTTTTTTTACTTGTTATAGAGAAAACAGAATATGGTTATAAAATACAAAATTTGTTGAGTTTTTTCTGATTTTTGTAAATTTTTCACTTTTTTACTTTTAATTAATCTTCCCCCCCAATATAATAATGGTTTAAGCCTGACCAAGACTGACTTTAAGTTTAATCTGAACAAAAACACGATGTCTGTTCTACATATCAAAGTAATTATGATATTTATAATAAGGGAGTTTTTTCAATTTATATAAATTCACAACATTGTTGATCCTCCTTCCATTAATACGATCTAGTTTTTTTTTTATTGGATTCTAATCTTATCCCTTCTTGAATGCCACATTACTGATTATATTAAAAACTACACAGTAGAGTGATAAGCAAAATGAAATGCACATGTCCAAATATAGAGTTTCATTCACACCACTAGAGGGCAGCCTATGCGGAGGTGTTATGATTGCACCAGATTTTGTCTTCATAACAGCATGAAGGCAACCTATGAATTTAATATTGTTGCCATAGAAACACTCATCTAAAATCATCCCAAATATTTATTTTTTTTCTGGCAAATTATATTAGGTTTATGCAGTATATTATTATATAAATGTCAGAATTTTTCTTTGTGCTTCTTTTTTTATAGATTTATGCGGGAAATTCACATTTGCATCTCCAAGTTATTCCGTACTGGAAAGTGCAGGCACGTTGGACATTGACGTACTCTTTCACAGAAAAAAACCGTAAGTTTTTCATATACAATGTATTCTTCAAATGGAATGACCCATTGGTGATGATGAACACATCATCCAATCCAATCAAAATTACTACCTAGTACGAAAATAGTAATAATTTTTGTTTTTGTATGCAAATATCAGACTGTTGACTCGTATGAGTCCACGCCTTTATATTTGCAAATACTTATTAAGTTGCTGTGCAACATCCATTTGAATGTTCTTTACATATAAATACATACATACAGATGAAAGGAATAGAGAATCATGTATGCTGTGACATAATCATAACCATAACCATAACCATAACCGCCGAGCCTCATTTTGGCATCATATAAGCAAGGTGCTCTTTATTAATATGGAGGTAATACCCCATTAAGCCTCATTTTGATGTGATTTTAAGTAGAACGCCCTCATTAATATGGGGTGATGCCACAGAGCCTCATTTTGGTGTGATTTTAAGTAGAACGCCCTCATTAATATGGGGTGATGCCACAGAGCCTCATTTTGGTGTGATTTTAAGTAGAACGCCTTCATTAATATGGGGTGATGCCACAGAGCCTCATTTTGGTGTGATTTTAAGTAGAACGCCCTCATTAATATGGGGTGATGCCACAGAGCCTCATTTTGGTGTGATTTTAAGTAGAACGCCCTCATTAATATGGGGTGATGCCACAGAGCCTCATTTTGGTGTGATTTTAAGTAGAACGCCCTCATTAATATGGGGTGATGCCACAGAGCCTCATTTTGGTGTGATTTTAAGTAGAACGCCCTCATTAATATGGGGTGATGCCACAGAGCCTCATTTTGGTGTGATTTTAAGTAGAACGCCCTCATTAATATGGGGTGATGCCACAGAGCCTCATTTTGGTGTGATTTTAAGTAGAACGCCCTCATTAATATAGGGTGATGCCACAGAGCCTCATTTTGGTGTGATTTTAAGTAGAACGCCCTCATTAATATGGGGTGATGCCACAGAGCCTCATTTTGGTGTGATTTTAAGTTGAACGCCCTCATTAATATGGGGTGATGCCACAGAGCCTCATTTTGGTGTGATTTTAAGTAGAACGCCCTCATTAATATGGGGTGATGCCACAGAGCCTCATTTTGGTGTCATTTTAAGCAGAGCGCCCTCATTAATATTTGGTGGTGCCACAGAGCCTTTTTCAAGATGCAGATAAGGTGATCAAATTATCTTTCTGAGCCAGTGTTTTTAATACCCCTGTAACATTATTGATAGTAAACTTAACAAAAGCTACTATGGATACAACAGACAGGTGACTTGAAGTAAAAAAAGGGTCAGTACCCTGTAGACTATATCAACTTTACCTGTTCCTCTGAGAGACATAGATATAAAAGAAATTATTACTAAATATTTTATGCTTGATTCCATGTGAAATATTGTTTACATTTGTTTCCTTATGAACAAAAGAAGATTGGTGTGAACGACATAATATTGACAAATTTAATTAATTTTCAATTTAGCTGAAGAGGTAATTCCGACCATGTGATCAGTGCAGTTAATAGAATATGATGGATACTAAGAACTCTTATCTTTAGTATTGTGTATTTTTTTGTTATGAGTAACAGTGGGATTTTCTACTATAAAAGTCTACTGTAAAATGTTTCTAGAAATGTTTGTGTTTTTTGGGATTCTATAGAATTTGTGAAGTCGCTGCCACTTCATGTCGTAGGGCACCAGAGAATTATTAAATGCAAAAAAATTTTTTGCAAAATTCATGAAAATGAAAGTGGTTTTCAGTATTTTCTTATGTCATGTGACACAAACATAAAATGTAACATTTTGTGTTATTTATTCCTTGGCAAAGCAGGGGGGGGCACTCCGTGGACAAGACCCACAACAATCAGTGAACAGGATTAAAATAACCTACTTGGGTGGCTTTGTGGTTCGAACCCCAAGAAATGTGAAACCCACCAGTTGGTATTACACTAGGAAATGAATTAATAAATGAAACTGCTATGGTAAATCTAAAAATCTGCAACTAAATCAAAAGTTAGATGCAGCGGGGTGACAACTACAGGAGATTAGCTGCAGGGATCAAGGCCTGCAGAGGAGTTAGGCAATGAGGGATACATAAATGGGGACTGTCACTACTCAGATTAGATATTGACGCAGGAAGGACTGCAGCATAGATGAATATAATGAGATATATGTGTTGAACAAATCATTTAAAATTTCAATAAAAATATCTAAACTATGATCTTCAAAAAGTCCCCAAAAGAAGTATAATTATTCAATTACAGAATGCCCCCAAAATAAGTTAAAAGAAATATTTTCTGAAAGCTCACAGTAAATCCAGATTTAAATGTTCTTTGTCCAAGCTCAAGAAGTATTTTTGAACACTAAACCCATATACTTTCTGAAAGCTCACAATTAACCCACATATTTTCCGACAGCTCACAGTGAACTCGTATGTTTTCTGAAAGCTCACAGTAAGCTCACATTTTTCTGAAAGCACACAGTAAAACCATTTATTTTCTGAAAGCTCAAATAAAAACAAATACTTTTTGAAAGCTGGCAGTGAACACATTTTCTTTCACCTCAACTTCATCAAACAATAATTATTCTGTAATTTCATTAATGTGTTTTGAAAATAATAGTAATGTATAAACAAGAATTACAGAATATGAACCAGCGAAAAAAAGGCTGTGAAAACATCCTCAAATGCTATAAAAGGAAGCACTCGTAAATTATATA